CTTACATGATGATTGAAGTTTGCATGGTGCATAATGAAGAAGTTCGAAAAGGGATGCGATACTACTAATAAACACAACAGTTTAATGTGTCCACAATAAGGGTTGCTTGCTATGCTATTCCTTTAAAAGGAATTATTTCTGTCAGATTATTTTCTCTGATTGGGTTTCTACACCATAATATATAATTGATTTTCTGCTTTGTACCTGTAGATTACTCAGCAAAGACTTCATTCTTCTGCCATTACTTGGCAAATACTTCCCATTTGAATGTACTGTGGGCTCTAATGGTAGAGTCTGGATAAACAGTAAAACGTCAGCTCATATCATAGCAATATCTAATGCTATCACCAATGCTGAATACATGACAGAGACACAAATTAGRTCAATGGTTAGACAGGTCGTTGAAGGAATTATGTAGCAGTTTGGAARTAAAATATATTTATTTATTTACATGTGCAACTGCTTTGATTACTAGATGGTGGTTACTAGCGGTAAACTAGTGTGAGCTGTGTCAGTGTTTCTAAAGAAACAGTTGTGTAAAAAGATAAATTTAATGCTGTAAAAAAAGTAGGTGAAACAACTTACTGACAGTTAAGACATTAATCCTTTGTCGGAGGATAACGGTCCAAAACATCAATAAGTTATTTCACCTACTTTTTTTAATTAAAAACAATTAAATTTAAAATTTATATTTTTACACAACTGTTGCTTTGATTACCAGTGAAACATAGAAAAGTAAGATTTTCAACTTTTAATTCTTCTTCACTCGCTTCATTTACATGACCAACAATATTATATTCCTTTAATAAAAAAAACACTATAAAAACTCAAGAAAAGTCTTGAAAACAACACACTAAGAAACTTTTAAAAAATGCAACATTACTGTAACCTTTGGCAATAATGTCAATTTAGTTAGTTGACATTATAATGTTTGTATAGAATATTACATTCTTAGGTCGAACAATACCTCAAAAATTTACTTTCCTATGTGAATAAGAATCAGTTTTATGTTTTAGTCATTGCTTTGTGATGTTATTTCACTGCTAAGCCCATGCCCATGCAACAAATTTGCCCCAGCAAAGCTTACTTCCTTAAAATTTGCCCCTTCAAACAAGAATGATTTCTGTCCATAATTACAGCTTATACGAGAACAAGAAATATATGGGAAAATATCATTGAGATTTATATCTCCTGAAGGAAACKGGTAGTGTTTTCCAGTTCCGACTCCATCAAGAGTAAAGAAGACRACTCCTGCTGGCCACAGAATTCCACAGCCAACAACCTCTGGACTTCTGTAGCATTCTTGACTTGATGGAGTTTGGTGGGATGTCTTGGGGAGATAAAGTTGTCCGGCTACAAGGTCACAGTAGATTTTCCGTGAAGTTTTAGTGCAGAAGAACCCCATTTGTTTGACTTTTGATGGTCCATTCTTCAATTCTGCCTCAAAGTAGAAGCAAGGAAAAGATGGTGCATCTGAAATAGGAAGGGTCATAAATATGTCTTTTGATAAAAAATAAATAAATAAAAAAAATCAATTTTTTTCACTTTTTTTTTCAATTTTTTCAATTTTTTTTTGTTAGTTTATGCATTTATCTCGAGCTATTCTTGGGAAAAAGGCTCTGGTTGATGACGAACGAGGCTTTGATTTGATTGGTTCAAAAATCCCCATTTGCCACCAGTATGTATGTATTTGACCCAGATTCTAGGTCTTCCGGTATCGTTTCCAGCCAGAGCCCTTGATGTTCCCTTGGAAAAGATCTGGGTACCGGTACTAGAATGGTCTTGAGCATGACGCCTAACCATGGGTGCCCATGGATGCCCAAGGACCAAGAATGGTCTTGAGCATGACGCCTAACCATGGGTGCCCATGGATGCCCAAGGACCAAAGAATGAACAATGCCTTTTGCAGTAGGTTCTTGTGTGACTTGTTTTCATTTTTTCTCCATTTTATGTTTTTTTTTCCCTTAGGGTTCACTTTATCTAGTCAACTTACTGCACTCTACTCTCAGTGATTCTCCAGGTGAAAACTTCAACCATGAAGCACTATGATTAACAACATTCCCATTTTCAATGGTTGACTTTGACATTAAAGAACTACCAAGCTCTGTATTTCTCATTGATGTAGGTGTTTGTTGCTGGTCATAATCTGGGATATCTTGATCAGATGCTGGTGTTAATACACGGTGTCTATCTTCAGCAAATTTGGAAAGGTCCTCAGAAGAGCTTACTTCTTCAGGCAAATCTTGTTTTGTATGAAGTGAATCTGACTTATCTACAATCACATAATAAAAATAAAATGAAATAAATAGTAATAGATGTAGATGCATTACCTGTTCTTTATTTTTGTTATTTTAAATTCTTATTTTTCCATGTACTTGAACCTATGTCCCCCGACATCCTCTGTGAGATACTTCCCCCTATAACGTACTGAAATGCCTTGAGGGAGGGGGGGGGAGCAAGGTATTATGATAATCTATAGTGTTGTAATTACCTTCTATTGGATCAAGATTTTCAGTCATTGGTGACCAGCATGAAGTAAGAGGAGAAAAAGGCCTTTGTTGGAAATTTTTGGTGTTAATTCTCCTAATCGGCACATATCCATGAGGCAATGTGTATCTAAAGAAGATTAGTGTTGAATAAAATCACGACAACTGGATCATGCGAAGATTAGTATAATTATTATTACAAAACCAAGAGTTTCTATTTTTTTCCTTTTTCACTTTAAACATCTGTTTCTGGTATCGCTAGGAGTCTTTACTTTTGTTAAAAAATATCTAATATAACTGCTTCTCAATCCTCAAATTTTCATTCTATTTCAAAGTTTGAATCAAGTGAAAACTTCTGTACCCTGCAAGCTGTAATGAGGTTTTGATTGAAGAAATTTCATTTATTTTGAATAAAATACATATGAAAATAAACAATGACAAAAATCTCTAACCTGAAAGGTTTTCGTCCAAAGTTGAAAACRCAGTGCTGGTCCATAGCAAGTGAGRCAGCTGGATACCAATTGAGATATGTGTTCATTTTGCTAAATGCTATGCCCTGGTCTACACCATTAATCCAAAATGACATGTCACCTTCCCATGAGCATAGACAGCTCAGTATGTCACCATCTTGCCATTCAGTTCCATAGTCATTGTCGCTATGCTCTGAAGCTGGACCATTCCAGACCTATAAACAAATCAATACTTAAGTTATCTGAATAGCTAGTGCTAACACTACAGCGCAAATAGCCAGAGGAAAATGTTAACCGAGGCACTTCATGCGACCGGCGGAAGCAGTCGTATCTAGTGGGTTCGCGGGCATTCTTCCACGAAACATTTTAAAATTCAGACACTTGGAAACATGATTTCCAGCATTTTTCCAAGCATATTGTGACCTCAAACTTTTTTATTTTGGATACAAATTAAAGAAAACTCAATAAAATTTCACTGAGGCAAGTGCCTCACTTGGCTGATCATTGCTACGGTGCTGYACTATTTCCAGGAAATAAAATCTAAATAGTTACTATGTAATAGTTGTTATTTACTGACTATCACAGTTGCTTTCACTCAACTGGAACAGTTATAAAGAGGTATTGTTTCCWTTGTATTCGATTCCCAAGTGTACAGAATGTGTTGTTATTAAGACTGTTCCAGTTGAATGATAGTCACTAAATAAGAACTATTAGGTAGTAACTATTTTGATTTTATTTCATGGTCATAGTGTAAGCATTCTATAAACAAAGTTTAAAAAACTCATGTCAACCGATTTCAGTAAACAGCCAAGAGCGTTTCTATTTTACTTTATGCGTATTCAATGTGGGATGAAAAGAGTGCTTTGTAAAGTGATTCGCGCATGATCAGTTTGCCCCATTTATCTCTGAACATATTTTTACGGCAATTTCTCCAAGAATTTTAACGTATTTGAGTTTCAAATTAGTGTTGGAGTTTTTTAAGCCGTTTAAAACACTCGAGATCGTGTTTTATACTATACATAAACACTAAATACATTTAATAGATTATACATTAATGATTAATATTTTTCAGCTAACCTTGCAACGGGCTCCATCAAATGCACAAGAATTGTAGTCATCACCAACACCAACACCTTTCTCGGGTCCATAGCGGCATCCTTCAGTCTGCCAACCTAAAATTAAAATCCCATGAAATCCAAGGGCTTRATAAGTATCACCAGTCAAGTTAAATATTGTCAGAAGTAGGAAATTACCACATTATGAACTTACCGATTTGCAATATTCCATTAGATCTTAGTGTGACTTCATAGTACCAACCATCAGGGTGAGGGCAGTTTTGATAGTCCATCCTCCCGACATATGTTGTTGCTCGAATACTTTCAAATGTCCAGTTTAGATTGTATACCTCTAGGTGATCAGCACTGAGAATAAGAGCTGCTGTCTTTGATCTGTCATCTAGCTCCACTACATTCTCTGGTAAATTAACAATCAAGTTTAAAAAGTATAAAAAAAWTTCTACTGCAAATTTGTATTGAGTGTTTACATAGAGTGCACGCCAAAATAGCTTGGAACAATTTTTAACAATCAACAACTACTAAGATTTAGTTATCAACTAACTAAGAATTCACTGGGGCATGAACACAATGACAAAAAGGAAATTGTTTTTGTTTATGCCTCACTAAATTCTTAGTTAGTTGATAGCTAAATCTTATTAGGCACTATTAGTTAAAAATTTCACACTTATGTGGCATGCACTCTTCTACACCACTACTGTCATGTTATAAGTGTGAGGCACTAGGTATAACACTCAATGTCTTCTGGTCTTTCAAAGGGATAATTCTATCAAAACCAAGAAAGCTTACCCAGAGCWCCCTTCTCAGTTATTCCCATAGAACCAAAGCAGTTCAGCAATGCTTCAATTGGGAGCCCAATTTGAGCCAGTGTTGTTTCATTACTGGTAAGCAGTGTGCACCAAAGAGTTTGTAGWGTTCCTGACTTAAAAAGAGAGCCGCGTGATTCCTCAATCCCAGCAAAGAGTCCCATGCTGTTGTAGATGGTGGTTACAGCCAGACGTACAATAGTGCAAAAYGCATCTTCAAAGTCCTCAGGGGTGGAACTGGTGTCAGAATGRCTACCTGGAGTCAGAGGTTGTTTGCGTTCATCAAAGGAAACGTCCTCTGCTGCTTATCAAATAAGTTRTAACATCAAAATTAATGCATACAGGTGGAGACAGAATTGATGTAAAAAGGGATCATTAATGTTAAAATTTATTAGAATTACTTTGTCTACCTGAATGTCTACGAGGAAACAGAAAACTAGTTACTGTTGTTTGTGATTGCTCATAAAATTCCTCTGTGTCTTGTTTGGAGGACAATGTTGAAAGCTGTTGGCAAACAAACAAACAAAATTAAGAAAGAGAAAATAATATGAACTAGAATTGTCTAGTAGTACCAAAGTTTCAATACACTTGTGTTAATTATATGACATTGCTGAATAGTTGACTAGGAACAAACTGGACTTCAAAGTCATTGCCTTTTGCATATATTTATTTAATTAATGTCAGTTACAATTATTTAATTTTAATGACTCAAAAATTTAAGTTTACAATCCTTGTGCTATCTACCTTGATGCAAGTGATAGTATAAAATAATTTGGTAGACACTTATTAAGCAAAAAACGATAGCTTGAAGAGGTTTACTGGCGAAATAAACCACGCAGGATGTTTGGGAGAACAAGAGAAAAGATCTGTAAATCACTAGACTATCATTTATTGCTTTTATCTATCATAATATYGCAAGCTCCATGGTGATATAATAGGAAGCTGTACCTTCAAGATGGTTCAAGGAAACACTGGAGGAGCTTTTCCTAACACTTACTTTCTCTGCAGTTGCCTGATTAACTTTTGAGAGAGAGACTTCATTTACAAAGTACAGTAAAGCCAACGCAGCACCAAGAACCCCAGAAGCCAGGAGTTGTTCATTGAAAGACTCTGCAATGCTTATGCTACTAATAATCTTTAAAGCGCCAATACAGTGTGCAATAAACATTGGGTTTTCACGCARATACTCGGCAGAATTACTTGAGACATTCCAACACAAGTCAGCCAGGTATTTCAGAAAACCTTTTTGAAGAACCATAACTGAAAAATGAGAAATGTTTTTAAAAAGAGTGATGAGGGCCGTACACTACTTTAGAAAATCAAATAGGTTTTGCCAAGCTTTCGCAGGATGCCAGAATCATCAGGAAATGAAACTAGCATGCACAAATAAAATTTATTTAGCATATGGATAGAGTAGCCAGAGTATTAGTAAAAATAACAGTGTTATGCGGCGTAAGGGCTAGGTGTAAAGTCAGAACAAAAAGTATTTCAATTCACAACATTCGGTAAGCGAAATGATGCAGGGTTTGTTTTGGCGTATGAGTGCAGCTTCAAGTAGTCTGAGAAATGTTTTGTGTAAAATAGTGCAATGTTAGGCAATATGTATCAAGTTTATTTCAAGGAAATTTGCATGTTGTGCTTTCTATCACTGACTGTACCTTGTTTGTGATCATCGTGCCTGGCCATAATGGTCAACAGCTCCAACTCAGATACCTTACTAATAGCACTAGATGGTGGAGAGCTCATCATAAGTTCAATTATTGGCAGAAGTAAGCTTGTCAATACCAGTTCATTCACATAACGACCTAAAACAAATGTACACACAGTGCTTTTTTGAGTCTTGGATRCTCAATAAGTGAACAACATCTTATCAATGAATATTTCTCACCTAGAGCGATTTCAGCTTTCAGCACAACATGATCGTTATCGCAGAAAATTGCTATCTGTTCACCTAAACCTTCTCTTTTTTGCCCAACATATGCCCAAGGCTCATTACTTTTGAAGTCATATTTAACAATTCCTATCTCCCTTAGAGATTCAGAGGCCTCAACTGAAATTAGAATGTGAAGGATCTTAAACCTATGCAGAAGGTGTCTGGAAAGGGGAAGGATTAATGAAAAGAGAGTCAAAAACATTAAGACTCTGGAAAATAATTTGCATTTTCCTGGAGAGTGTGTTATTTGACATCCAAACATAATCATAATAATGTTTTCTTTGATCCACTGAGCTTTAACAGAATTGCCAAAATTCTGCCAATTCTGGCACCAATCTGRGACCAGTTGTACGAAGGCTATCCAACTGTAAAAGTTATCTGGCTTGGATAAGGATTCATCCACTGGATTTTATTCAACCTTTCTACAACAGGTCCTTGGGCASCGAGTTTACTGGTATTACTACTCTGCAAGATGTGCTTGCATGTCTTAGACATATTATTAACTTTTAATTAATAAATACTATGATCATAGAGTACAAACACTAAAACTATGCAACATAAATACCACTAAATACTGCTAAATTATGCTAATTCTATTGTTTTCTATTGTTTAATTAACGCTATTTTGTAGTAAATAGTGGAAAGTGTTGCACACATTTAATGTTTGTACTCTAATCCTTAAAAATAATGCTCTTTACTATCCTTTGACAGGGTATGAAAATTTACTATTTTTTAGGGTCAGTTAGCACTGATCAGAACGGGTCTTATGATAGGTTGAGAAAACAATGGGCAATAGATCAGTCTTCTAAACAATAAAACAAAACCTAACCTAACAATAGAGCTACTGTACTTAAGCAGCAATGAAAAAGCAGGTTTCGATCAGTGCTGTATYACCGTTTACTTACATGTCATGTAATTATTCACCATTCCACTACACAGAACAAATACTAAAGAACCATAAGGTATAGCACCAATGCCCTCTATAAGCCTGGCAGCTGCAGAACTATCATGGCCAGTATCATAYGACAAWACATCGGTGATTTTAAAGGTGAGAAAGTCTAGAACACAGATGTTGAATCCACTTTTCTCAAAGTTGTATAGCTTTCCATCAAAAAGAATCCTTGCTATTCGATTACTGTTGTGTTGAGAAATCTCTAGTTTCACTGGAACAGATTGGTCTGAAAATCAAAAATAATAATCATTGTTTATTGTGTTAAGTTTTCAAATAATAATGTGCCAATGAATGCTTCTTTTGATAAGTTCAAAAWAAATAAATTGTTATTGGAGAACAAGGAATGAAAGACTTGGGTATCACATTGAAAAGGTCTATTCCCTTATATCCGATAAACAAAGTTGAAAATTGAAAGTATAAAAACTATAGGCATAAAAATGGACAAAATGTCTGCAGTTGCAGACAACATCTCGCTCACCTACAAAGCCTAACATCACAAGCGTTTTTGCTGACTGAGCAGCAACTGGRTGTTGGTCACTTTCCATTATTGCCAGCTCAATAAGAGGTTTAATGCCTCCGAGACGAATTAYCTCTTCCTTGACAGAGTCTGACGTCATACACAAGTTGAGTAAAAGAGCCGATGACCAAAGCTGAAGCTCTGAATCAGAAGACTGAAGGAATGTGATCACRGCATTGAGTGCCCCATCATTAATCAAATGCTTTTGAAGGCTTTCTGATGGAAAATCTGTGAATATTTATAACTAATTAACAACTGATAAGCAGTCTTTCTCAATGTACTAGGAAGATTAATATACATTTAAAATTAATCTATAATATAAGATATACATAATCCAYAATGCTACTTAATACAGTTAATTTACCAACAGAAGAGAAGAAACCAATGATTTCTGCCACAACTCTKATTAGACCATTRTCTTTGCGGTCTGTTAAAGCAACAAGAGCTTTTATGATGTTCTCACAAACGTTTATCATTTTCTCGGCCAACTCCTTGGAAGAAGAACCAGAACTTCCTGAAAAGTAATGTCAACAATTTCTCATTYATGATAATTTATGTAATATGGTATCGYRGAAGACAAAGAAAATGTAACTGCGTCTTGAATGCCAGGAAATGTGTCCAGATTTTTTTACCTTTTTGAATCAATTTTCCAAATACAACATATCACATTTACGTACCTGACGACAAAAGAAGATCATGAAAAAGAACAACAGCCCAATGTACAACATCAGGATCACCAGATGCAAAGCACACAACCAATCTCTTCAAAATAGAATTACAATTCAACACTTTGTTTCGAAATTCCTGGTCTCCCARGCAAAGAAAACTGATGACTCTGAGCACAATTCTCTGAAGAACAGCTTCACTAGTCGCTAACACACCCTGGAGAGTRTTAAYGATATTTGGTATTGCACAGATTTCAGCTTTGTATAAATCTTTGACAGAATATTCATGRACCAAGGCAGTTGCCCAGTAGACCAGGTCACTGTCATCTACAAGAAACACAAAATAAAGATATTTTGAAAGCATTTCACTTAATACACAAAACCTCAGTAGACGAGAGTGMCAACTTTTATTGCYGTKGAGCAACTGTTAAGAATATCCCACACAATAGAAATTTGCATGTCTTTTTAAWTAATGACACAGAATTCAATACATTTTTTAAATGATATTTAAGTTATTAAGTGGAAGAAGTAAACTGTATTTTTCTGAAGGAAAACAAACCTGATTTCAAAGCTGCCACCGCAGGCTGGATGACATTGTACTTCGCCATCTCGTGCAAAGCTTGTATCTCGCCTTCTTCATTGCTGTTAGCGCACATTACAAGAGTCTGAAGACAAAGTCTCATCAGGACGCTATCGCCGCGGTTTTTTACAAATACCTGCGCTACAATAGTWATGACGTTGTCATCTACTAGCTTCGGACGCACAGTATCGCAAAGAGAGAGTTGATGAATGACAAAAATTGACCAACGCATTATCTCTTTACTGCGCGCCTTGCTCATTAGATAAAGAATTGACGAGATAACGGTCGGAGTTGCCTCGCTGAGTCTGTTTTTTAGGCGATCATCGTCACAAACTAGGTCAAACAGAGCAGATATGATGACACGCTGTACTTTGACGTGCCTTCCACCGGTKGCCTCTAGTTTCTTGTACCCTGGATCGATTGAATAGTCCAAGCACTGAGCMARAGTTTCAATCACCTTAAAAGCGATTAACTTGGTTCTGAACTCTGAGCTCTTGACCAAAACACCAACAACTGTTATGCCTTTTAGCACTTGAACTTCGTCCGACGTTGTTGTACAAGCGTTCACGATAAACTCCAAGTTTTTATCCTTCATTGCTCGTTCAAGGATCACTTGTTCAGCGCTGCGCTTTAGGGAGATGTTTGGCGAGCGGGCAAGCGCTGCCAAGTCCTCCAAAGCRATCGCATCTTGAATTTCTGCGAGTGTATGTCTTGTTGAGTTATGGCGAATTCTTCTTCGAAGTTCTGAAATGCASAAACTCACTCCAACTCCTGTTAAAACGCCAGCACTCAGCCAAAAAAACCTCTTCCCCWCGGTAGCCATGTTATTCGACGAGATCGCTTGTAAGCGGCACTTTACAATGTAAAACATATGCTAAAGAAACCATAAAGTTTCTTTCGTGTAAAGGAATTTCTAACGTCGTCATTGCCGCCATATTTTCGAAATAAATTATYTCTTCCACAGGGATCCCAATAMGYWTTTAGCCTCGTCTTGGTGAAATGTCTGCTGGTACAAWTGACTGTAGACTCGTGTTTTCATCTCGCGATTCAAAATGGTGAGAATTTCTTTTTTGTTTCCTTAAAATATTGATTTATTTTTACCTGTTTTACATCATTTTAGCATCAGATTTTTACATTGACTTATTTTTTAACATTATTAGGCTGAGAGAAAGGCYGTTAATAAGTATTATCCTCCTGATTGGACTCCTAGTAAGGTAGGATTTATAAAAGTACTCCTCAGCTGTTTTCTCGAATTGTCAGGTTTAGAAACGTTTCATAATTTTGTTTCTCTTGTATCAGGGATCYATCAACAAATATGTTGGACAGCATCCATTGAGAGAGAGAGCAAGGAAACTTGGACAGGGGATCCTTGTTATAAGGTACATACTTGTAAATGAATAGGTTATGATATAAGTTAAAATATACAGGTCGAGGGCTGTAAGCTTATATCTGACAATGTGTAACAGTGTCCAATTATTGATTTTGCATGATACCTGGATCTAGTAATTATTTTGTTATTTATTGATTGTAAATGTTTGCAAATTGTAAATTTGAAAGGCCTTAAAATATATACCTTGACATCACAGTTGCAAAAGATCGTTCCTTTGCAACGTGTGCAACATTAGAGCGCACCATTAGAAACTGTTATACATTAAGACTGTTGAGACATCAAAATTTGTTTTGTAGTAGGGAAGGGGTGGGGAATGTTTGTAGATAGGTATAGTATGTATACATAGGATAATCCCATCACAGAGAATGCATTCACAAAAAAAATTGTTGCTTCGCAACGTGTGCAACATTAGAGCGCACCATTAGAAACTGTTATACATTAAGACTGTCAAGACATCAAAAATTGCTTTGTAGTAGGGGAGGGGTGGGGAATGTTTGTAGATAGGCCATGGTTACAATCACTTGCATGGGATCCAATCACAGACAATGGTATTGAAGGCATTCTTGCTCTTGTAAGGTTTGAGCTGCCATATAATATCTGGTGTGGAGGATGTGGAGCCCATGTTGGAATGGGTAGGTTTTGAMAGAAAATCATAATCTAATAATAAATCAATTGTAAACTATTAAACATGTGTGATAAACTTTCAAAATCAAGGAAACTTTTCATTCATAAAGTCTGCTTTGAATCTTCCTGTTAGGTGTGCGTTATAATGCAGAAAAGAAGAAAGTTGGCAACTACTATTCTACGCCAATATACAGATTCCGCATGAAATGCCATCTCTGTGACAACTACTTTGAGATTGAAACAGACCCAAAGGTACTGTAAATAAAATTCATTTTAATTAGCTACAAAGCTAACTTAAGGATCAGATCTATCAACRCTTGAAAAATTTCCATTTCACATTTTGTAGAACTGTGATTACAATGTAGTCAGTGGAGCAAGAAGAAAGAATGAAAGGTGGGAACCATCAGCTACGGAAACTGTTGAAACTACAGGTCAGTAAAGCACAAAACTTTGCTCGATCTCAGGTTTATTGATAGAGTGACATTGTGTATGACRTACAACATGGYGCAAAGAAAACATTAAAGCTAGAAAAAATTCATGATTGAGGTACAATATCTATTTGCACACTGTACACAATCTGTTTTAAATTTCCTTCAAGCAAAGATGTCTCTCTCAAGAAACCTTAGAATCATAAAATAGGATCTCATTGACTTTTGTGATTTATTATAAGACAAAGAAGATGCCAAAAGGATGGCCATTGATGCCATGTTCAAGCTTGAACATGGTGTGGAAGACGTCCAGAAATCCAAGAAAGTTGCACCTGTAATACATCAACTACAGGTGAGAATGAATTTGGATTTGTCAAACACTAAAAATCTTGTGTTGTTATGGTTACTGTATACTTCATAAGACTCTGTTATCTTTTAGGGCTTGTTCTTTGCTTAGTGATGTATAAGAGGCACCCCCCCTCCCCTCCCTAAGTGATATCCAGTAATGCTTTTTTTTGAATGAATCTTACACATTTTAATATTTCCAGGAGGTCCAGTCAGTCTGGAAGGATGATTATTCTGCCAACAAATTATTGAGAAAGAAATTCAGAGAGGAGAAAAAGGCAATAAAAGAAATCAAAGAAGCTGACGATGAATTAAGAAAGAAAGCAAGCTTAGATATTCCTTTAGTACCAGAAGAAAACGAAGATGTGGAAAAAGCCAAAAAGATGAAATTTTACAATGCTGGTAAAGAGATTTTCTCATATTTCTTACATAATAATGGTCCTTTCTCATAATGACATCATGCGGTTCCCAGAGTGTAATGCACTGGATTGACTAAAACATCAACTCTACTGTTTTGTGAACAGCAAGCATTTTAAATACATATTTTTCTGACTGCTTTGTGACTCACCTAAATAGTTTGTCCCAGGCGCAGGCCAGCAGGGAATTTCTCTGTTGTATAGACCAATGATATCCATTTTCAGTATTCCTAGAGTATGTGCATACCAAAGGGTTGAAGTGTCAAAGTCGACTGGCTTTCTTTACCAGCTTGTGTTCATGTTTGATAGCAAAAAAGCAACAAAAACAACAACAACAACAACAAATATCAAAAACAAAAAAACGCCGTAATTTAAGAAAAAAAAATCTTTATTATCCCTTTATGTTCTACAAATGATTCAACCTTAAAACCGACGGATTGATGTTTACGGATTGTGGTAAGATAATTGATGTAATCAAAAAATGACTAATATCTCTGTATAAGTAGATACAAACCACGGCCGCGTTGCACGCCGGTTGMTGATACCCCTTTAARTGRTCTTATTGTAACTGCAAACATTTTAGGCTTTGATGCTCAYAAAAACAAGAACAGAAAAGAAATTTCAACGAGATCTTGGTTCAGCAAGGAAACGTCGAACCTCGCTTCGGATAAACTTCCCGGAATCACACTACGGAAKCGAAAAAGAAGTTCAACCGAARAAAAGGATGATTGGAAAAAYAGCGTCATTACTAAATCCACGAAAACAAAACAKAATTCGCCTTCAACAGCTAAACTAGGAATAAAATTCAATGAAGAAGAACCAATAAGCTCAACTTCAATAACAGYTAATCCTTCAGTGTCTTCTTTGACGAGCATGGATTGTAATAACAGTGTTATATCTGAGAGTTTGGCCAAAAMAACTCGTGAAACAAGCTCCCAACCCTCAGCATTACCATCAAAYCAATCGCTTTCTTTGCTTTCAGCTGTTTATTCCGACAGTGAAACATCAGACGAAGACGCAAATKTGAAATCCAGTTGAACTTATTTCGCGCCAAGATCTATATTGCTGAGTAGCGCACCGAAGATTAAAGACCCAAGGACGGTGTCTGTCTCTGTAAATTCTTTAATTAAATTATAAGATGAATAAAGATTTTGTACATTAAATTAGGTCTGGCATAGGCATGTCATCTATTATAACGAGATATTTTTGCTATGTAAACGCTGCTAGCAGAATCCTCTTCCATTCTCAGCCAAAAAAGGAGGAGTTGTATCCAAGGCTCTTCATCTTTTTACTTCTGAGGATGGGAGTAAAAAAGTGGCTCTGTTAGCAGAAACGCTCAATACTTTWGATTCAGCCAAGCTTTCCTGAGGCCTATTAATATTATATGGAATAACTGCCGAGGAATTGTGGAGACACGGGATTTTACTAACCGAAACTGTACGAGTAGTGGCAGTTATCTTCTCRTTGTGAACTTTCCCGCGTCGAAACAATTCCTTCTTCATATGYCTTCTAAAAGGCTTGTTAAAAGCGTTGAATATTATGGGATTAATGGCGCTGCTCAAATACGCTGTGTAAGTAAAAATCATCTCRGCATGTCGAGGGAGGTCTACRTATACCGATAGGAGAACCACTATAGAACATGGAATCCAACATAAGACAAAACCACATACAATRGCAAGGACAGWYTTAGTGATRCTGATCTCTTCATTGCTTAAGGTGTTGKTGGAATTGATRCTCGAGGATACTGTCGCCTTGTGAGTYTTCACTGTTTTGTACACCTTCCAGTAACACACAGCTGTCAAAGACATCGGTAAYAACAAAAACACAAGTAGYGAAGCGATCGAGAACACCTGRTTCGTAGTTTTATTTTTCGGAGTTAACGCGTGGATTAGCCGTCCTGGGGAGWAGGCCATTTTCGAYAAGCCACTAGCGTTTATTCCCACAGTGTTCAAGATGGCTAAAATCCATACAATAACGATGGTTATAATAACYAAGTTTGGTTTAAAATACTTTCTATAAATTTTCCTTTTAACAACACAGAAGAACCGGTTCACCGCAATTAGTGAMGTAGTCTGAAGTGATCCGAAAACAAGGGTATAGCCAGTAACTCCAACCACTGGTCCGATTGGTTTTCCGACGACATCCCGACCATACGAACACGTTACGATCGTTGACGGCATTACGAGGACTGCCATGAGTATATCAGAAATAGCTAATGTAATGATGTAGTAGCTTGTAACTGGGCGCCGTAGACTTGGCATTTTGTAGAAYACGTACAAAACACATGTGTTACCAAGGAGAGCTAYTAGTGCTATGATGACCAACAGACCYGTCTCGATAACGACCAGGGACAGTKGTCGGTTYGCCAGCTCGTGCGACAGTTTGTTTGTGTGTTCTTGCCCAGGATTCATCATTTTTTTATGGTTCTGTAGAAAGAAAACAGTGGTTTTCTAAACTGAAAAAAAGAAAGAAAAATCGGGAAAAGGAAATAAATTCAGGGAATAGCATAAAACGAAGCAGTGAAATATAACTTTCTTGATTCAATAAAATGAACGAAAACATTTAAATGAGAAAATAAGACAAACTTTTCTCTGATTTCTTGACTTTTCTACACTGCGACCAAGTAAAATTACATAASTCGGCTGTATRTACTGCGAATAGTCAATCAGAATGGCGGAGTTTTGTGAGGAGGCAGCGTTGTTTGAAAGAAAACGCCTGCGCGCCTCAGCAGACATACCATTGAGTACCAAATCAAATAATRCTAAAACAATTGCTGCCTGACCCACTTAGTCTATGACTGTTCAGCCTCGCCAAGTCAATAATTGTTAATTAAAAACAGTCATCTTCACAAAGACAAAACAAACTTTGGCAATTCCTATCCTGTAATTTTCTTTTCTTTCTTTCTTTTTTCTTTTCTTTTTTTATTCTWTGCTTTGCTTTGCTTTTCTTTGCTTTGCTTTTTTTAGTCTTTTCTTTTCTTTTCAGTTTTGATCTTTTCTTTTTTTCATAAGCGAAATGCGATCAAGGAACAGCTGTATTTGGTGAGTCTAAAATATTAATTGGAATACCCTGGAAAATAAGGATACATAACTGAAAATAAAAAAAACGACTTCTTATAACGCGTGGTTGCTAATTGACATTTTTGTATTTTCAATCGTCGCAAAAGCAATGAAAAATGAAAAATTGTTYGGCCAAAATTCTCCTCTCGTTGAGAATTGAAAACGAAGCAGCAATCGTCGTAATCATGTATACTGCGGCAGGCGGGCAGTTTAACAAGCTTTTTAAAGCTTCGTTAAATGATTTCAAAATCATTTGAGAATGCACTCCTAAAACGTTCTGAGTAATTATTTGGWTTCAAACATACTTTTTCTTCAAACTGTTTTTAATTAAACGTACCACGCAATCTGAATATTATAGAAAGTATAAATCCTTCTCAGTGTAGCATCACTTAAACGAGAGGAGGTGCTATTTTGGTCTGTTTTGTTTATCGTTGTCATAGAAACATTGAATTGTTGCTTAAAATAACCATCCTTTGAACTTTCACTGCTAGCCCCACAAGTGCTTTAAACTCAAATTGATTTTTCTGTTTATTTTTCACAGAAATTCATGTTAAGGTGTCACGTGACACTATCCCTTGCTTTTTCTYTGCATGGGTCGTCATGAAAGGCGTCGCTCCTTTGTATTCAAAGTGAGATGTAAAGACACTGCTTCCTTTCAAAATAGAAARGAAGCCCATAGGGGGACATTTGGTAAACTGCATTTGACTAAAAAGAAAAACGAAAACAAACAAACATCACGGATACTTGAACCTACAACAATATCCGCCATTCTTTGATTCCTAGAGTTCTCAAGTGAAGTTCTTCTAACCCTTCAGCATCGATGAGATTTAACGAATCTTTCCATGACTTACATGTAAGTTTGCTTTGATTAAAACRTTTCATCACCGAAAGGTTTGTCTTTAGAAGAAAGGCTACTCAAATAAACAACCAAACAATGTAACAGATGTCTTAGCAGAAAGTGAACGAGGGGTATACATCAGCAGGTTGTTCCGGAATCTTTTTACAATACAATACAATACAATATGTAATATCGTTAGACATGCATAGTGGCGTTGCCATAACTGGAATAAAAGTAACTTATGCAATCGTTTTCTGATTTTTCGGAGTTTTTTGGCRATTTACCTTTCATTTTTTTAAGTGWCTCCAATAAATTTGGTAGTCGCTTTGTCAATCTTAAAATCAAAATGTTAAAGAGAATTTAATCTAATTACTTCGAACATAAAAGCGATGGAGTGTTTCTACGGAAAGTTATACACACTTATGATTATTCACACATTCTTGGCAGCCTCAAATTGAAAAATAAKTCATTGATGTTTATAATAAAACGAGTAAGCACTCTTCAAATTAGTTCATACTCCAGCAGTAACTGGATTAAACCAAGTAGTGTAAACCTCAGTATAGATTTTTAGCAACTAGTTTCATAAAGCTGGAATACTAGAATTATTAATACACCCTGTTAAAACCTTGTTTCCAAGAGGAATTCCATCAAGAAATCACTTGTTTGTACGTCATTTTCCGGCAAACGAAAGTTGCCTTTTCGAAGCCTGACAACGCTTTACTGGGAKAAAAAACCTTGTCAAATTAAACATTAGATAAAAACAGACGTCAGTCTTGTCAACCTTAAGTTAAAAGTAGGCTCATATACTTACTTTGGTCGAAACTATAAGAAAAATCGGCATGTATCTTCGATGGATGTCGAGTATCCGCTCTCATTTAATTAATCCCGGGGAGGTTTTTGAGTGCGTTACCAGAATGTTTTGAAATATGAAGTTCAGTTAAACTGAAGAGACAGGATATGAAGACACTAACGTCATTATTAGACTTAGACACATTTACAAGATAAAAGCATTCTGCTGGATGGATTTCCTGCAGGGAGGGGACAGGTATACCAGAATACTCCAGTTTCGTAATCTTATTTGTGCAGCCTCAACCTCGACGCGAAAGCATGTAATATATTCTTTTATTCAACAGAGAATCTATTGTAATGCAAACACTCTGTGTAMAAAAGAGACAATAAAMATTTATGCTTGATTGAAGCTAAGCTTGCACAYAAGAGAAACTGGAGTATTAGCCTGCGTAGCGGCTCTAGGGGAGGCCCTCCTCCCCCAATCCCTCCCCTCCCCTAGAGCCGCTACGCGGGCTATACCACAATGTCCCTACGATGCAGAAATTGTTTTTAAAGAAAAATGAGGAATGTAGATACAAAATYATTTGATGTTAGGACGGGAAACCCTGACGAAAGATGACGTTATCATGACGTCATAAAGTTTATGTTATATCTCTTTTTATTGGTCAGGTTGTGTAAAGTTGCACCTCAAGAACATCGCTGGTGATTGGTTGGATCAAATCATAGTGAATAAAACTATTATAGAGGCTATTGTTCTGGCCAACCAATCATAAGGACTTTTATTGAATGCGCGSCCACGTGCGTTCGCCGGAGAGCCTTYGCGTCGTTTGTCTTTTGTTTATAAATGATCTCTTACTGATAGCTGCGTGCTTGCTGATTGGTTCARAATAAAAGATGACGCCGATTTTTCGAGAAAATTGCGCAAATAATTATGGATGCACCTTGGGCCTTTTAGAGCATTATGTGGCTTAATACAAGGTTTTTTATTCAGATTTATTAATAATGATTAAAGGGACACTGTCAATGGCTCGCATGCGCGAGTAAACTTGAAAACACTAGCYTAGTGTTTTCAAGTATATGACTCCAAGTTGGCGCGACAGAAATCAGCTCGTAAACGTAAACAGATTTAGAATATTCCAAAGTGTCAAAAGCACCACAAAATGATTTACCTCGAAGGTAATACTTTCAAAGTCCGTTAGAGGTGAGACTGTTACTGCGCATGTCATCCATTGACAGTTTCCCTTTAAACATGTTATGATAACTAAAGCGTAGTGATGTTTACTGGCGGCATCCATGGAGGCATTTGTAGGTGGTGCAAAGTGGTTCACCATGACTTGCCTCTAAACCGCTATGACACAACCCGAGTCCCGCCTCTAGACATGGCTTTGATGTGGGTTCAAGAGTTTGTCTTTTGTTTTTAATTACCACAGGGGGTTTTCTCTACACGCGGTGGTTTTCCTCCCTCAGMAAAAATCACCATTTGTCAGTCCAGTTTCGTCTCTTTAGCATGAATATACAAGCATTTTTTCATGAAATAAAGTTTATTCATATAATGATTGAATAATACGTCACCCTCTTACGATCCTCTTGCGATAACAGCCTTTTAAGAACCAAGAGTGAATAACAAATTTAATTAAAAACCACATTAATAGTTAATCCTYAGAGGCGCCATTTTGTACGATACCCCTACTTCTGCTTTTCAAAGAAAAAGTAACTCTAAATCTTTGGGGACTATTTAAGTGATTGGCAAAAAAAAWTTGAGGACTAAATCTCCTATAGTCATGGTTTATCGTACAAAATGGCTTTGCCATTTATTAATTCACGACTTTCTATACTCAGGTTCAGTGGCCACGAACAAACCATTGAACCGAGGCGTCAAGGTACAGTGAACATAAAATAATAAAAGATCTGAGCTCAGTGTTCCTTGACGCCTCGGTTCAATGTTTTGTTCATGGTCACTGAACCTGAGTATGAAAAGTCGTGAATACAGTTCGCTGTATGCGTTTTCTACTACAACAACATAAAAATAAAAACAAGACAACAATACAATACAATAAAAGTAACAAGAAATTTAAAAACACAAACAAACAAACCAGATTCTCATTACTATACGTTCTCAACAATTCATTGATTGTAGAAAAGAGACTGAAAAACTGAACAAAGTTTACTAAAATTATTAACCCAAACAAATACTTAAAAATTAACATGACCAGCTTTGTATTCTGTACTTTAACTGCACACTATCATACATTTATCTACGTCGACTAGTACCGCAAGGCTAGTATTAGTTGACTTGTGGTTTGAATTTCATTTTTTTCGGTAAAATACCGGGCCCWGTTTCATGGCATCTATCTTAAATCTATAAAACAGCCATAAACTATTTATGAAATTCATACAAAATACGTAAAATGCGGCTATGTTTATGGAGTAAATTCGATGAATATATATAAAAGATAGAGCTTCATTGGCTAATACATGATATCTTTAAATTATTTATTTTATATATTTTTAGCAATGGAAAATAGTTCGATGACATTCATATTATACAAAACCACAACTTTGACAGGTAGGAGTTAACCTGTCATGTTTTTATATTTACAGAATTCRAAGCGATGCGCGTTACTTCCACACAATCAAGCGCTGCTCATGGACGTCTTGGAAGTCCTTGCAGACCCCAAATGGTGTGTAAATATTTTTGAGTAGCTTTCGTGTTGCTGTATATTCCTTTAACTCGGTGTGTGACGTGAGATTATCTTTGTAATCCACTGGTAAAGCGTAA